CTTCCATCCCTTTTGTGACGCTTAAAAATTCTAGGAATGATTCTCCTTCGTGATTGGTTTGATTGATACCAGATGGCAGTTCAGCATTATTAAAAATCCAGACTAATGTTGGTGCTGGCACACCTGAGGCTCGGCAACTAAAGTTCACAGAGTTTCCTTCAGTAACAGACTGGTTTATCGGAGGCTCTATAAACTGTGGAGATACTTCAATAAAAAAAAATCCAAAATTAATAAGGTTTGTATAGTCCATTTTAACTCCATTTATCCAACCTTTGATAAAACGACGAAACAACAACAACAAAAAAATCAAAACAAGAAAGGCGATGTTCGAGTCTATTTTTAACCAAGGTCAATTTTTTCCAAAGGTTTTCTTCGCGTTTAGCATAAAAAGATATTGTTTTGCCTTAAGTTGCCCCAGTTGTGCCGATAACCTTCACTTATTTCTTTCTGGTTGTTGAGTGTGATGTTAAAAAAATATATGTTTAATGGCTATCAGTTTTATTTTTTAGCAGTATTTATTGAATTTGAAAAGTTATCAGGCAATGATGATCAAAACAATGTGAAACATTCACATTTTGTAATAAAGAAAAGGAAATATGTCATTTGACGTCTCCAAATTGAGTATTTTGACATGTGTTCATGGATAAAAATGTTAGAGTGGACCACAGGATTTGGAATTCCTTAATAGCGGGAGGTGTTTTTCATTATTTCTTTGGTTATGGATTTATCTTCATTTACAATTTGGGTGTCTGTAAGTCAGAATCCACTCTAAGTGACCAAGAAATGGATGAAAAGAGAAAAAAATAGGTCTATTTAAATTTGGCTTAAAGAAAATATTTGCTCGCGAATAGGATTTTTATGCTTTTTTCCCCAATTATTAATGTTCTATTATTGTGATAATTGCTGATATATGTTAGTCACGTGTAGAGAGCGTTACATGACAATGCAAGATGCGTGACAGGCCTGGTTGAGGGGTGCGAGTATTGCAATGTATTGACCCCCCACCTTTTGTGTAGTCTAATACTCGTGACAGAATTCACAGAGTCATTCACTTCAGATTTCT